ATCTCTCACTCCTCCTCAAGGTGGACTCCCACTCCCAAGGGGGGCCTATGTACAACTTCTACATCTTTGCTGTTTTTCTTGACTAAAATGCTCTCCTTCCTTTCTGCCCATCCAAATTTTCAAACTATTTTTTATTTTGATGAAAATAATGCATGCACATAGTTTAAAAAGTTAAATATTACAAGGCTTATAAAGAAAAAACAGAAGTTCCTTATCCCATTTTTCCTCACTCCTGATTTGTGCTGTTCTTATGGTATACCTCCTTATTTCTAAGTATTATACCAATATATTCTTATATCAATATAAGTAATGACTGCCTACTATGGAAAATAAAGCTTCAGTCTTCTTACACCATATCCTTTCTAACCTCTTCTCTGTCTATCCTCCGAATACATTTTGAAAGGATGTAGAATTCTGAATTCAAAATAATTTCCTCAGAATTTCGAGGGCTAAAGTACAGCTTAGTGAACTCACTGTGGTTCCCTTCCATTGTGCTAAAAAAAAAAAAAAACAAAATTTTTTAATGGCTGGTTCTAGAACCTTGTCTGTGTCTGACATCATGATTACTAGAATACACCTGCTTCCCCTTTTTGAAAAGCAAAACAATATTAGCTCATCTCAGTCCCCTTGGACTTCTGCCTTTCTCCGTGATTACTAACCTCATTTGTCAGTACCCTGGGATGTAATTAATATGGGTTACTTGGAGCACAATAACAGGGAGCCCTGATCTCATCTGAGGAAGTGACATTTAAGCTGAGATCTGAAGGATGAATAGCAAAGGCGGTTGGAAAGCATTCCAGCAGAGATGGCTGCATGTGCACAAGCTGCCAGGAGAGAAGGAACTTTGAGAATTCCAGGGATGAAAGGTGGCCAGCAAGGTGGAGCCTGGTAAATGAGGGGGAGAGTGGCCCACCTGAGGCTAAGGAGGAAGGCAGGGGTCAGAGAATTCAGGGCCTTGTAGGTCCTGTTAAGGCAGGATTTTGGACTTGATCCTAAGAGCAACAGGAAGCTACTGAAAAGTCCTAAGGAGGGGAGTGATTTAATTTGATTTGTGTCTTCCAGAGATTGCTGTGGTTGCAGTTTGGAGAATGAATTGCAGAGGGCCAAGAGCTAGGAGGATCTGGGTGAAATTGGTCTCAAATAAACGTTAAGGCCAGCCTTGAAAGGGGGAAAGAAATTTCAAATGGGCAAAAGGCAGTCTGAAGGGGTATGTTGGAAAGCTTGGCAGTTGACAGTTGAATTTCTTCAACTTGCTGACGGAAGGGTGATTTAGATGCTGATATAATAGCTTCCATTTTTCTTTTTTGTTAGTTATCAGGTGGAAGAAGTGACTCCTCCTCTGCACCATTCCCCTCCCACTGGATCCCTGAATTCCCGACCAATGGACTGATTCCAGAAGCTTTGCTCCCCTCCTTCCCAAGTGTGCATGCATCCTGTGCCCTGGTGAGATTTCTGAGGGGTTGAGAAAGTGTGAAAGCGCAAAGGGCGGGTGGGGGAGGGAGGCTGGAATAGAAAAGAAGGGCTTTTGAGTGGCTTGCACTAAACCAGGGTAGCAGAACTGAGATGATCAAAGAAGAACTCGAACATCTTTCCCTTTCCTCCCTCCGACAGCAAGCATTATCTCTAGTCAAACTGGTAAAACGGACAAAAGACCACTTCCGCTGAATTCCTACCTGCAGGACTGGGGCTTCTGCTGCAGTCAGCTGATATACCAGAAGAGGCGGTGTCCTGTGCCATGGATTCTGAGGGTTTAGGCAGGAGGAAGTTAGTTTTTACAGCTCTGTTTATGGAGTTGGCCAAATGAAAATGCTGGCTGATGGTCTGCTTTTCATAGTCATCAACAACAGCTTTCTACAACACCTGGGATTTCTTTGGAAATTGTGAAGAGGCACTGAAAAGAACAAAAATAATTTCTCCTTGTTGGGGAAAAAAAAAAAAAAAAACCCACAAAGGAAAGTGACTCTAAAGGCTGTGCTTGAGAGTAGCTCTGATTTCAGGTTGAGTTTGAATATGAAAAAAGAAAATCACTTTGACTAATTTTCTTATTTTGCTGAGTGTATTTTGATTTGTATTGAATTGCATTTTTATAGTCATGCAAATGAGTCTGGACCCATGAATATAGATGTTGTGATGAAATAAATTAGGAAGACAAAGAGAAAGTGCCATGAGAATAACAAATGAAAATATGACCAACAATACTGCTGTATCTTGGGGGATCCAAAACTCCCTGTTTTTTAAGCTGTAGCAACATGACAATATCAAGTGTGAGAGAAAACTGCAAAAAATTCCCAGGTCTCTCTCTCTCTCTTTTTTTTTTTTAAAGTTCTCTTCGACTCTATAAGCAAAGTACATTTTTTTCCCATCATATAACAAAATGTTTAACAAAATATGCACGCGTTTTACTAGTAAGCATGTGCATTTCCAAATGTCTAAATTAGGTTTTTATTACCTATGATATACTGTGGTTTAGCCCTGGTGGTACAGCGGTTAAGAGCTCAGGCTGCTAACCAAAAGGTTGGCAGTTCGAATCCACCAGCCGCTCCTTGGAAACCCTATGGGGCAGTTCTGCTCTGTCCTACAGGGTCGCTATAAGTCTACTCGAGGGCAACGGACGGATACTGTGTTTTATTAATAAGGACTGTAGATTTAAGCCTGGAATGAATGACAATACTCTTCTCCACCCCCAAATTCCAGTATCTAGAACAGTGCCTGCCACATGGTAAGTGTTCAACAAATAATTAGCGAATGAAATTACAGCAGTCGCTGTGCTCAATAAAAGCCAGAAAACAACGTTTTTCTATTTGAAAGGAAATCTTCAAAGTATTAGATATCAAAACCTTAGATCAATTTTGTCAATAAAATAAAACATCCTAATATCTGATTCACATACATTTAACATAAATCTTAAAAAATCATTAAGCCTTAAGTGAGCACACAGAAGGAACCAAGATAGGGGAAGAACGTGCGGTTACTTTTACTTCTTGGCAGGGCATTATGGGAGCACATCTTAGGTCTCATGCATTTGCACTTAGCTGGCGATGGCTCCTCCGTTGCTCACAGGATCAAGTGTTCCTAAAGTTCCTTTTCGGTTTTAACTTTCTTTTGGGCTGTTTCCACCCCGGATCAACGGTGTGTTCTTTTTCTTAGCATGTCCTGCAGTTTCTCACCGTCCTCCCCCTCCACCCTGGACTTTGCCCGTTGGCCTCCCTGGTCTGCTCCTCTCAAGCCTACCCACATTTCCAGGCCCAGTTTACTCTCTGGCGCTTTAAGAAAACTTCTTAGACCCCCTTTTCAGCTGCGACATGGCCCTCCCCTACTTCCCTCCGCACTTGGAACCTCTCTACTCTAGCAGCTCTTGCGTTCTAACTTGTAGCATTTGCTTGCCTGTATCCCCTGACTAGATTGTGACCTCCCTGCTGTGGAGGTCTTTTAGTAAATCTGTTGGGTCCAGCCCCTAGCACAGGGCCTGGTAGAAGGAAAATGCGCAGTAAAGGTTTGTGGAAATGGATCTACGCTGCAGAGGGGAAAAGGAGAAGTGTCTGTGGCCCACCAGACAAGGCCCTTCACGCCCTGAGAGGGGCCCTCGTGTGGCTCGGCCCTGCCCTTGGCTCTGGGCCGGCCGGAAAATGTGGACAGAAGGCACGTGCAAATGCCCCTCCGCTTCTTTTAACTGTTTCTTCTGTACTTTTATAGGAGATCCCGAAAGTTCTCCAACAGCCTTGGGCGGCACAAAAGGGGTGGGGTGGGATGGCGTGAGGGGTGCTCAGTCTTCTGGCAATTCTAGACTCAGCTTTCATTTTGCACTTTCAAAGTTTCACAGATTGCAGTTCTAAACTCAGGGCCGAGGGTCTAGAGGGTTTCCCGGTGCGCAATTTTCGCGTCCTTGGGAAGGCTCCCAGCACTCGGGGCTCTGCCTAATTTTCCCTTCTCACATTTCTCACCGCGGGGAAACTACCGAGCCCTCCGGGCCTCCACTTCCAGCCTGTGCAGGGAACCGTGGTCCGGCTCGGCGGTTTCGCTCGTTTCCTCCTTCAACGCTCAGAGCAAACCCAGGCCGGGCGGGAGGGGGAGCTCCCAGCCTGCAGTACGAGGCGGAGTGGGGGGGATGAAGGGACTACAATTCCCAGGCTGCCCCGGGAGGAGGGCAGGGCGAGGGGGCGGGGCTGGAGGTGGTGGTGGCGGGGGTGGCAGGGAAATCCCGCCCCGCTGCGCAGCAGCAGCGACACAAAGCCTGACTTTACTACCTCAGAGAAAGTGGAAGTAAGAGGGCTGAGGTGGGGAGGCAGAACGAGAAAGAGAACGAGAGGAGAGCTAGCCGCGTAGGTGGAAGGGGCGACGCGAGGGCTGCGAGGAGACCCATGCCTTCCGAGATGAGAAGGAGCGGCTTTCTTAACTAATCCCCCGCGGGCGCGCCCTCCCTTCCGCCCCGCGCCGGGGTCTCCACAGTGTCCTGCCGCTCCCCACTCCTCGCTCCGAGCCCAGCGCCAAGCGGGGACCCCGGCCGACTCGCGGCGCTCGGGGCAGGCGGGCGGG